GGGAGCGCCGCACTGTCGGAGGGTCAGTGCTGAGGGAGTGGGCACTGTCGGAGGGTCAGTGCTGAGGGAGTGGGCACTGCCCTAATCAGGTGAATTGCAGTATTTTGATGAACAGCAGGAAGCAGGAACATTTATCCTTAAACAATTTCACTAAGATGGAGATTGTTAACCTTGCTATGAATGAATTGGATCTTGTATTTCCTGAGTCTCCCTTCCCCCAGTGCCTGCACCCAGGCACATAGCCCTGTTGCTGGGCTCCCTCCCATTATCTCTGTGAGCTTAGATTTCTGTGAGAAATTCTAAAAACGTCTTGCGAAGTGACTCATTGGGTGAATATGTCACAGCTTCAAACCAACTGTGACTGAATAATGAGTGGAATAGATTTGAAATTGTTCTGAAATGGAGACAGACTGAACAATCCCAGTGATGGAGAGACTGAGAGTTCAAGGCTATGCAGGCTGATGGTGAACTGGGCTTCTGTGTGAGACAGACTGACACCGCCATCTGGTGGTAACAACCTGGTATTGCTGTAATAAAATAAATGAAAACACAACTTTAAAACTCTTACATTTCTTTCGTTTCACGTTTCAGTTTTTCTTTAGTTCTGATGAAAGGTCATCGACCTGAAGTATTAATTCCTTTTCTCTCCTCAGATGCTCTCTGAATCACTGAGTATTTCGAGCAATTTTGGTTCATATTTCAGATTCCCAGCCCCCACCTACACTCACCTTTACTGGCTCCATCCCCGCCTCTTCGACCTGTTTGTTTCCTCTCCGCCTATCCTCTCCTCTATCCATCTTCTATCCACCTCCCACTGTCTCCCTATTTATTTCAAAACCCCCTTTTCTGATGAAGGGTCTAGGCCCGAAACGTCAGCCTCTCTGCTCCTATGATGCTGCTTGGCCTGCTGTGTTCATCGAGCCCTGCACCTTGTCGTCCCAGCATCCATAGTGTATGCTTTTGTGTGATGGAATACCCCCACTTGCCTGGATGAGTGCAGCTCCAACAACATTCAAGAAGCTTGACACCATCCAGGGCAAAGCAGCCTGCTTGATTGGCACCACATCCACAAATACCCACCCCCTCCAGCACCGACTCTCACTAGCAGCAGTGTGTACTATCTACAAGATGCACTGCAGTTCCCCTCCAAGCCACTCACCATACTAGGTCTAAATTCTCACAGTACCTACCAAACAGTGCTGTGGGTGTACACCAAACCCAGGTCAAGAAAGCAGCTCACCAGCGCCTCCTCCAGGGCATTTAGGGATGGACTATAAATGTTGGCCAAACCAACAATGTCTGCACCTTGTGAATGAGCCAAAAAACCTGCAAAAAGCCCAAACAGTGCTGGCCTAGTTAATGGAGTAAGTGCCCCAATGTCTCCTTCCTAAAAACGTAGAAAACAGGCCATTCAGCCCTTTGAGCCAGCTCCACCATTCCATACGATCATGGCTGATCGTCCAACCTGTTCCTGTTTTCTCCCCGTTTCAATCACTTTCCTCTGAACCAGGGCAAGTCTATCCCCTTCCCAACTGAATTGTAACTATCTTCCTATTGGTTTAAATGGACTAACAAACCCTCAGGCCATCCTGATGTGTGGAGGCAGTGGTGTAGTGTTAATGTCTCTGAACTAACATTCCAGAATTCCCAACTAAACGTTTCCAGGGACTTGGGTTCAACTCCCACCAGGGCAGATGATGAAATTTGAATTCAGTAAAATGTTGGGTAAAGAGCTGGCCAAATTGTTTGGTGTAAAAACCCATCTGGATGTCTGATCTTCCTTTTGGAAGGAAATCTGATCTGGCTTACATGTGACTCCAGACCCACAGTAATGCGTTGACTATTAGCTGCCCTCTGGGCAATTAGGGATGGGTGAGAAATGCTGGCCTAGCCAGCAATGCCCTCATCCTGTGAATGAAATGAAAGCATTTTGCAGTGTCTTTGTCACTGCTGTGCTGCAGGAAGAGGTGTTTAATTGTCTAGGGTCAATGATGTTTTAATCTTTCTCCTAATTCCAGGACGTAAACATGTCGACCAAACTTCAGACCAGTAACATCACCAACAAGAATGACCCTCGGTCAATTAACTCCCGCGTCTTTATTGGAAATCTCAATACGGCTGTGGTGAAGAAATCCGATGTCGAGACAATCTTTGGTCAGTATGGCAAGGTAGTAGGCTGCTCGGTGCACAAGGGCTATGCCTTCGTTCAGTACACCAACGAGAGAACGGCTCGCGTGGCTGTAGCAGGAGAGAATCGGCGCGTGCTCGCTGGGCAGACGCTCGGTAAGACCGTGAACCACCGGCACAGTGTGGAGGGCGAGGGCTTTGACCAACCAAACGGGGAATCTCAGGGAGAACGTGCCCGAGAGTCAGCACTTACTCAGAGTCCCACAGAGCTGGGTTCATTCCTCTATCTCCCTACGAGCATACAGGCAAGCAGCAGGACCAGGCCACTCGGCCTTCTATCCTGCTCCCCCCATTCAATGAGATTGTTGCTGATCTGATTTTAGCCTCAACTCTGCATTCCCGCATATGGCTGAGAATATCTCATCCTTTTATCCATCAAAAATCTCCCCCTGCCTCAAAAATATCGAAAGATTCTGCATCTACTGCCTTGTGTGAAGGGGATTCCAAAGATTCACAACCCTGAGCAAAAATCTGGTTCCTCATTTCTGTTTTTAAACGGGTGAGCCCTTATTTTTAAACTATGACCTCCAGTTCCAGACTCTTCGACCAGACAGTAAGACAGAAACCCTTTTACACCCCTCTCTGAAACATTCCTGTTGGGAATACAACAAGATGAAGAAGGAAAGTTAACTTTAGTCACTGTGCTCCATTCTCTCCTCACATCCCAGAGGTTTCTCGCTGAAGTCAATCCTGAGCTTGGAACTGTCAGACTGAATTAATTTGCTTCCAACTCATGTTCTTGCCCATTTGTTAATCTATTTGCCTGTAAACATTTTCCCATTTTCCCTTTTTGTCTTCAGATAGGCTGAGCCCGGACACAGCCGGGATAAGTGGGTGTCATGACCCAGTGGAGGGAAGTTGAAACTTCTAAAGGGCGACTTCCGGGTGTGTGGAACCCTTGGAAAATCTCCGGGGTTGGGGGGCTCACAGTCACTTGGATTAATCATTTGTCAGGGGAGTGTCAGAGGGTTCAGGATCAGCTCGTAGTCCTGGCTAATGATAGCACCCAACCCCCATCCAGTATTCACCCTGACTATAGTCACCTCACTATGTGCCCTTGGACACCTGACTTCTCATTGACCCCGACCCATTCTTCCTGTCACCCACTTACTGGTCAGTTGTACTTCTGGTTGACAGCCCACCCCCTCGTAAACCTGACATTCTGTACACTAGCCACTTACACACCACCCCAACCCCTCTCCCACCCTGGCAGTTTCCCTGTCACCCACCCAGCTGTCACTACAGCCCTTTCCCACACAGCTTACACACTTGCCTTCCCTCTGGAGCAGTGAAAGTGGCTTTGAGATCTTTTGAACATCTTCCTTTCTGGAATACAACAGCTACTGCCGTAAAAAGGAGAGAGGCTTCTGCAAGTGATTGGTTATTCCCACACTGCCGGTGTGGTTTGCTGGACTCCTTGTGTTGTGATGGATCCTGCACTGTAAGTGTGGCCAGAAAATTCCTAGGAGAATCTATGATTGGATCAGAAATAGCGATCCTAACTCACATTGGAAGATTCAAAACAATATCTCTCAAAAACTAATGGATACATTTCAACAAAGCTTGGTATACAGATAGGGTGTGGTGCAAGGTAAAATAGATTAGCTTTTTGTAAAGAAGTGGATCCTGTAATATTTTATGGATCCTTCAACAATGTAGAAATGATAAATTTACCTTTAAGTGAAGACTCTCATGGTTGATTGTTTCAGGATGTTGCAGACACTCTCAGCTGCTCTGGTGGAATTTTTTACAGTTACCAAATTAGGGGCAGAGTTTTCACAGCAGGTTGTTTGATCTGTGAGATGGAACATCTCAATAAAAAAGATTTTTCATGATGTTGCAGTTACAAAGCATCAGACATGCAGGGAAAAGCCTTGAGGAAGGGCAGGGCAATTGTAATAATGTTAAGTTAACACAGTGTGGTGGAGGAATGCACTTCACTATATATCTGCTGTTGCTGATGTTAGTGCCATCTCCTGCCCACCAGCAAGAGCCCTGGCAGACACTCAATCCCATTCCTTGTTTCAGTTATTTTCTAATTAACCTGCTCAGAGATGTTATTACTCACCTCTGGAGCAGGTGGGATCCGAACCCAGGTCTCTCGGCTCAGAGTTAGGGATACTACCACAAGCACCCCGCCCATTCCCTTTTATTATACAAATAATTCTGCCCCACTTCCTTAGAAAGTCTTATTTTGGTAATTGCCAATTGATTCCTTTCTCAATGATCTATCAGGAATAGCCTTTTGTTCCTGAATGGATTTTAACGTAGCTTCACATTTCTTTGAACATTTCTGTTGGCCGATAGCCTGCAGTCTCTACTTAAAGGTTTTTATTCCTCATTCCATGTCTGAGGAACCTGCTGTTCAGACTGGAGAATGCATTAGGAAAGGAAGACTTATCCCCTTATAATTACTTTATTGAGTGTTACTTCAGTACAGTAACTAATTAGGAAATTGAGGATTTTGGCGACTGGTTTATTGAGACATCCCCAGGGCCTAGCTGTAGCCTATTAGCTGTGACAAGGTGGCACGGTTAAAGACTGTTAATCAGTTCTGTAATATCTGTTGGACAAATCTATGGCTGTTAGATTGTGCTAAAGGGAGAGTTGCAACTTTGAATAACACAAGGCTCCAATTTCCAGCAGAGATGCACAATGGAGGGACTTTTCCGGAAATGGAGGCCCAGGTCACATTCGCCCACAAAACACAGTCTGCTGCATTTGTTTCCAATAGGAGAATCACATGCTGACTTCCTGATATTGTGTGGCATGAGCCCACTCCCAGCTGTGCCTGGGTGAAAGAGAACTGCATATTAACCTTGCACAACACTCAGAGAATGGTAGCTTACCAGCCTAAAGACCCAGGCATGCCTGCAGGAACAGGTACAAATTATCAAGGTGTCTAATGGAATGCTGGCCTTTATAGCTAGAGGACTGGAGTACAAAGACGCAGTGATTATACTGCGGTTACACAAAACCCTGGTTAGAGCTGACGTGGAAACTTTCAAGAAGGATATATTGGCTTTGGAGGCAAGACAGTGTAGGTTAACAAGAATGATACAGGGCTAAAGGTGGGCGGGGGGTACATCGTGAGGAGAGATTATACAAATTAGGCCTGTTTTCTCTAGAATTTACAAGGCTGATGTAGTAGTAATTATAACAAGGTCAGCCAGCTGGACCTCATAGAATATAACTCACTCAGAGATAGTAGGAACTGCAGATGCTGGAGTCTGAGATAACAAGGTGTAGAGCTGGATGAACACAGCAGGCCCAGCAGCATCAGAGGAGCAGGAAGGCTGACATTTTGGGTCTGGACCCTTCTTCAGAAATGGGGGAGGGGAAGAGGGTTCTGAAATAAATAGGGAAATGGGGGAAGCAGTGATAGAAGGTGGATAAAGGAGCAGATAGATGGAGAGAAGACAGACAGGTCAAGGAGGCAGAGATGGAGCCAGTAAAGGTGAGTGTAGGTAGGGAGTTGGGATGGGGGTTGGTCAGTGAGGCGGGAGGGGCGGGTAGGTGGGAGGTAAGACGGACAGGTCAAGGAGGCAGGGACGAGAGTGGGGGCTGGTCTTGGGATGAGGCTGGGAATGGGGAGATTTTGAAGCTCATAAAGTCCACATTGAGGCCATTGGATTGTAGGCTTCCCAGGAGGAACATGAAGTGCTGTTCCTCCAGTTTTTGGGTGGCATCGTTGTGACACCCGTCTCCTTGACTTATCCGTCTTCTCTCCACCTATCTGTTCCTTTATCCACCTTCCATCACCATCTCCCCCTCTATCTATTTATTTCAGAGCTCCCTTCCCCTCCCCCATTTCTGAAGAAGGGTCCAGACCTGAAACGTCAGCTTTCCTGCTCCTCTGATGCTGCTTGGCCTGCTGTGTTCATCCAGCTCCACACTTTGTTATCTCATAGAAAAGAAGTTCCCTGATTGGGGTTGTTAATCTGGTCCCATCAGGGAGCCCTGGCTGATACATAAAAAGGGTGACTATCAGAGATACTGACACTCTGGTACCTGACTCTGTATGAGGCAGTACGAGAGACAAGGACAGTTCATGTGTAAATAAAGGGTGACTTGGTGATGGGATAGCAGCCTCTGTGGAGTTGTTTCAGTTACGGGGTGATCTGATCGAAGTCTTCAAGATATAAACAGGAAAACGCAGCATAGACACAGATAAACTATTCCCACTGGTTGGCGATCCTAGAACTAGGGGCCATTGTCTGAGAATTAAGGCCAGACCACTCAGGAGAGATGTTAGGAAGCTCTGCGACACACACAGGGTGGGAGAGGTTTGGAACTCTTTGGATGCTGGATCAGTTGTTAATTTTAAATCGGAGATCAATGATTTTTTGTTAAGCCAAGATATTAAGGGCCAAAGGCAGGTAGATGGAGCTAGGCCATAGATCAGCCATGATCTCATTGAATGGCAGAACAGGCTGGAGGGCCTCCTCCTGTCCCGATGTTCCTAAATGCTGACCCAGACAGAAACGCCCAAATCCTATCAGAGAATCAAGAAACTCACTGATAAAGGTGTGCACCCCCTCATTATGGCACAGAGCGCGAAAACCAACGCATGGCACTTTTCATGCAGTGTTACCGAATCTAATAATTTGGCAAGGTTATATATAACTGCGTGATCTGTCAATTAATAACAGAAAAGGAAGGCTCGAATTTATTCACTGCTTGGTCCCATCTTTAAACAGAAGAACTTGCATTATTTTAGCACCTTTTCCCATCCTGAGGAGTGATTGAATGTTGACAATGAATGAATCACCTTTAACCTGCGATCTGTCTATGGTTTTGAAGGCAAGGCTGATGGAGGATTTATCAGTGAGGACTGAAGTCTGGAGCTGATTCAGGGTCATGAACAAAATGCGAGGGGCCCCTCGAGGAGGGTCTATCAACCCAGGAACCACCTTTACCCATTTTGAGAAAGGAAGGGGTACAAATGTGGGGAAAAAAAGGCAGGGGGGTGGGGTGTGGAATTGAAGGGAAGACTGACTGTAGATGACCCAGGGAATGGGTTAATGAAACAAACAAATGTAGAAGTTGCTGGAGAAACTCAGAAGGCCTGGCAACATCTGTGGAGACAGAAACAGATTTAACATTTCGAGCACTAGGTGTGATTCAACTTCAGTAGTGAAAGAAGCAGCAATTCCTTTCCTAATCTGTTTCAGATCTCCAGCATCCACAATTCTTTGTTTTAGTTTAATGAAGAGTTGATGAAGGTTTGCACTGATTTTATTTGTTTGATTTGAACCTGTCATAGATATTAATATGGCTGGAGAACCCAAACCCAATAGACCCAAAGGACTGAAGAGGCCAAGTTCTGCTCTGTACAGGTACAGTGCATCAATCACAAAGGGTTCAAAACCAAAACTGGCTAATTTTGTAACTAATACAAACTGCAGAGGTTGGTAACTCCTGGGTTACACAGGGTGTGAATGTATGATATTTGTTCTCAGGGTGGTGACGCGTGTATTTGCTGGTGGTTATGATGGTCAACCCAACCAGTGAGAGATCCCTCCTATTGCCCACCAATCAGCTCATTCAGGACTGATTGTTGTCTGAGGGGCAGTGTCTCACCCTATCACAGGCCTCGGCACTAGTGACCCAGGTAATCTAAGGCTGCCGCCCAATCAGAGTCCAGCAGCTTCTGGGTCCTAGCAGAAAAGCCAGGAGCAGGAGTAGGCCATTCAGCCCCTCAAGATTGCTCCACCATTTCATACAATCGTAGGTGCCCTCAGCTCAGCCTCAACTTCTCTTTCCTGCCCACTGTCCATAACCCTTCGACCTGCTACTTATTAAAAAATTTGTCTGTCTCCTTGTTACATTTTCCTCAATGTCCCAGCGTCCACCACACTCCGGGATAGTGGATTCTGCAGGTTTATGACCCTTTGAGAGAAGTAACTCCTCCTCAGCTCTGTTTTAAGTCAGCTGGCCCTGAGCCCAAAACTATGATGTCTCATCCTAATGTCCGCTAGTTGCGGCCAACCCTTTCGGAGCTCCCAGCTGTGAGGAGTTAAGGTTATTATTCTTCTTTGCACAGAGTGGGGGTTGTGGACAGAGGTGGGGAGGGGATTCAGGTGTGAGCTTTGCTTTGATTGTGGTAATCGGGAGCCCCCATCTCCCTTAACATCCCCAACCACCCTCCTACCAACCACCATTCCTCCAACCCCAGCCCCACCCGGCAGCCAGGTTGCCGATGGTATCCCAGTTGGGAATGTAGTTACGTGTTTCTCCTGGCGGGGAAGGAGATGGTGAGGGAGGTCATTAACTGGGCGTTAGTTGATTGTGTAAATGGTGGTGAAACCACCTATGGACCTTTCGGCCATAACATGACAATTAAGGTGGCAGAGAGTTTCTCTCCAGGGAAATCTTACCCCCCCCCCCATTAGTTCTCCCTCCCACCACCTCCAGGGAGGGTTAAACCTCATCCCCTAGTATTCCCTGCACAGAAACAGGCCCTACAGCCCATCGGGTCCCATGGCTCCTGTTCTGAACTCGTTGAGAATATCGATGGAATGTGCTGTCCCTTTACCCCACACCTCGGCTCTCGCATTCAACCCAAATCCTGCTGGCCATTCCATCCGGGAACGGGTAGCTGGGGAAAGGATGGAGCATCACAACATGGAGAGATGGAATGTGAAGAAATATCAAAGCAGCAGAGATTGTGGGAGGTACTGTATTTGGGATTTTGTGTCCTCAAGCCCGACAAGTTCTTATTAAAGTCTGTATGGTATGAACAATGATGTGAAATATTCCTCTTTAATCTTTACTAAAGCACAGATTTGGCAAAACCGTTTATATCCTCATTAACATTGTTAATTTTTTTTTCTCTCTTTTCCAATTCCAAGCTCAAGTTACGATTTTGATTACGATTACTTCAGAGACGATTTCTATGAGAGGTAATGTCTGATTTGTTTCAATTCTCCCTGCAGGAGTTAGATTGGGAAATGTATCTGCCCTTCCTTACATTTAGTCAGTGAGTCGCAAATTTTGAGTTCCAGGTTAAAGGGGTCTGAGTGTAATCTGAATATGTTCAACACAAGAGACGTTGGTCACACAATCACAGAATTATTCTGGTGCTGAAGGGAGTTCATTTGGCCCAACATACTTCTCCTGGCTCTTCGAATGAGCATCATTTCCTACGGACACTATTTCTATCCAAATAATCATTCAATGTCCTTTTGATCCTTCATCGCATTCAATGTGCACAGGATTAAAGAAAGTCATCAAAAATCTCCCTGAAAACTTGTAAAAATTCTCAAGTCCATATTTATAATAGAAACTGCCAATATCTACTCAATTCCAGCCTTCCTATGGAGTAGTTACTGTCAGGATGATTCCGATCCAGTTGGATAATATTGAGGTTCCATGTATAATCCCATAAGGAATCATTTGTCCAGTCTCTCTCATGTCACAAAGCCCAGGATAAAGAACTGCTCCTACTGCACCCTGCGGGGAGGCAATGGTCTAGTGGCATTATTACTAGAATCTTAACCCAGAGGCCCAGGGAATGACCTGGGGACCCAGGTTCAAATCCCACCACAGCAGATGGTGGGATTTGAATACCTGGTCTGGCCTACACGTGACTCCAGACCCACAGCAATGTGGTTGACTCTAACTGCCCTCTGAGTATTAGGATTGGGCATTAAATACTGGCCTGGCCAGCAATGCCCCCAAACCATGAATGAATAAACAAAAACTTGTCAATTGTTGTGACTAATTGAGATTGTCAGTCTGAGATGGTTAGTGTTGAGAAAGGAATAATAGTTAACTCTGAGGATCTAGGTGGTGTTCTAAACTTTGTGTCCCTGCAACCTTTACAAAGAACTTCATCAAGGTCTCTCCCTGACTGTAATCTCTAGGACAAAATCCCCTGCTTCCTCAAAGGTAATGTTCTCAAATGTTCATCCTGTCATCAGTGTAGAATATCCTTTAGTTAGGGGCAATCTGCTGTCTTTATCTCGTATGCAAACTGCAATCCCAGCTCCAAATCTTTGTTTTATTCATTTGATGGACCTGGGCATCATTAGGATTAGTATTTCCTGCCTATCCCCAGGTGCATTTGAGAAGGTGGGGGTGAGCTACCACCTTAAACCGCTGCAGTTCATGTGCTGTTTACCCACAATGCCCCTAGGGAGGGAATTCCAGGATTTTGATCCTGTGGCAAAGAAGGAACGGCGATATATTTCCAAGTCAGGATGGTGAGTGGCGTGGAGGGGAACTTGAAGGTGGTGGTGTTCTGATATGTGTGCTGCCCTTGTTCCTCTAGATGGAAGTGGTCGTGTGTTTGGAAGGTACTGTCTGAGGATCTTTGGTGAATTTCTGTTGTGCACCTTGTAGATGGTACACACTGCTGCTACTGAGCGTCGGTGGTGGAGGGAGTGAAGGCTTATGGATGTGGTGCCAATCAAGCGGCTGCTTTGTCCTGGATGGTGTCAAGCTTCTTCAGTGTTGATGGATCTCTTTATCAGGACTCAGCCTCAATACTACCGATGGGAACTGACTTCATCCTATATTTAGGATTAAAAGTGAGACCTTTTAGGTAGTTTATATCTGTGTGGTGTTGGCTCATGTGGGATTATAGGAGTTCCAAGTTGGTAACTGATTGTGCCATTCATTTCCAAGAAGATTTATTCTCCAGCTGCTTTCCTCCATTTCCTTTCTGTGGAATGTTCTGGAAGTCTGTTGAGATCCACCATGTTGATAAACAACCGGCTGAAAGTCAAAGATGTTGAGCTTTGGAGAGGGTACAGAAAAGGTTTACCAAGATGTTGCCTGGTATGGAGGATTTTAACAGTGAAGAAAGGCTGTATAGACTGGGTTTGTTTTCACTGGAACGCAGAAGGTTGTGGGGCGACCTGATAGAAGTTTATAAGATTGTGATTGGCACGGATAGAGTCAAAAGTATGAGACTTTTTCCCCAGGGTGGAGGGGTCAATTACTAGGGGACACAGGTTCAAGGCGCGAGGGGGGGAAAGTTTAAAAAAGTTGTGTGAGGCACATTTTTCACACAAATGGTGGTGGGTGCCTGGAACGCACTGCCAGAGGAGTTGGTGGAAGCAGACACAATAACAGCATTCAAGAAGTGCTTGAACCAATACACAGATAGGAAAGGAATAGAGGGATACAGATTCTTTAAGTGAAGAGAGTTTTAGTATGGAAGGGCAAACTGTGTCGGTGCAGACTTGGAGGGCCAAAGGGCCTGTTCCTGTGCTGTATTATTCTTTGTTTTCTTTGTTCTTTGACCTCATTAGGTGAAAGCTGCTAGGACAACATCAAGATAATTGTTATCAGCATTTTGCAAAAGTGGCTATGAAATCTTCAGGCCTGATATGTAACGGCCAGTGAGGGTCATCATTGGGTGTTTGTAGCTGTATCTGTTTCCATTTAATGAATGTGACATACTGTATGTAATAAACTCCAGATCTTTCTAAATGCATCTGAGGAAGATCCCTTTTGGCAGTTTCTCTTTAATGTTGCTCCATTTACTTCTTTTCTTTGTCAGTCTTACTGTTCTTTTGATAGTAAATTGCCTGATGGGTGAAGACTCCTGATTTTTGAGTTAGACAGTTTCGAGGACTCGGTGGCCTGTTCTGTGTTAGCTGTATACACGCCATGTGGGCTGATTGTGTCTCCCTCCCTCTACAAACATTTTCCTGATTCAATGGGAAAACAGACTCAAATGAATGTTTAAAGGATTTCCTCAGTGTTCGAAGGACAATATTTCTTGTGGAAGGGGAGTCCGAAAGAAGGGGCAGAACTGAGTCATTCCGAAGTGAAATCCTAAAGATTGAGGAATGGAATGTCGAAATCCTGACCCATGACAGACCCCCGCAGTGCACACACTTGCACACATTCCCACTCAAACGCACGCATTCACTCTCTCTCACACACAGACACACTCAGCCAGAGACACACACACATATGCGTGCACACACACACACACACACATATGCGTGCACACACACACATACACATACACACACACAAACACACACACACAATCTTGCACACATGTGCGCTCACACACGCATGCACACACAGACGCGTGCACATACACACACACGTGCACATACACACACAAACACACACACAATCTCACACACACATGCGCTCACACACACACGCACACACACACACGTACAGTTACAGGCACACATTCGTGTTTTTTGTTAGCTAAAGGTAGTGAGAGATAGGGAGTAAAGGTGGGAAAATGAACTTAAGATACAGGTTAAAAATGATATAAATGGCCTTATTTGTGTATGTGAAAGGAAAGAAGTGAAAAGGATGATATGCACTGAGATGTTGCGTTGGGTTTGGGGCAGGGTTATTGAGGCTGCCTATTGGCTGCAATGACACTCGAACCATTTACTCTCAGTGAGTTGTTGCCCTTCACTGGGAGGAGGAAGCTTCCACTTAGAGATACGCCCCCCACCCCCTGCCCCTACCCTGAAACTGACAGTAATCTGTGTCCCTTCTCTAACTGACCTGCCTGCCACTAGACACATGTTTCTCCTTATCCAATTTTTCAAACCCCTCCATAAATTTGAGCGCCTTGATTCAGTCTGACCTTCTGCTCGAAGGTGGACAATCCCAGTTACAATCCCAGTTTCTCCAGGCTCCGTAGCTAACTACAGTCCCTCATCTCTGGTCCGATCCCGGTAAATCTTCTCGGTGCCCTTTCCAGGGCCTGCACAGTCTTCCTAACTTATCAAGCCCAGCATTGAACACAATACTTCCAATCGGGGCCTGACCAGTTTACGACAATCTAGTGTAGCATTTACAGCAGGATCTCATGTTTATTTTATCAATGTGTCCAGCCATGCTCTGTGTATGTACCCTGTCTGTATCTCTCCCTCTCTCTCTCCCCCTCTCTCCCCCTCGCTCGCCCTCTCTCCCTCTCTCTCCCCCTCTCTCCCTCTCCCCCCCCCTCCCCCCCCCTCCCTCTCTCCCTCTCTCTCCCTCCCTCTCCACCTCTCTCACACCCCCTCTCTCTCACACCCCCTCTCTCTCACTCCCCCTCTCTCTCACTCCCCCTCTTCCTCTCTCTCCCTCTCTCCCTGTCTCTCCCCCTCTCTCCCCCCTCTCTCTCTGTACCTGCACCCCCCTTTAAGATTGCACCATCTAGTCCAGATTATCTTTTCTACTGTGAAGAGTCATTCACATTTCCCTGTGTGAAATTTCTTTCATTTCACCAGACAGTCCATACAAACAAGGAACAAGAGTAGGCCATTCAGCCCCTTTAAGTCCTGCTCTGCCACTCCAAAAGATCACTTGGTCTGATTCTAACCTCAACATTATATTCCTGCAGACCCCTCCCCAATATTCCTTCATGTCCTCCATGTCCACGGCATCCTTTCGTCTCTTCCCATCCCTCATTGTTGATTGTATTTATGGTGACACAACATGGAATCTGTGTCAGACGCTGCTCGCTGTGTGTTCCCCGATCCACCTAACTCTCCCGCTCCTCTCTTTCCTCTAGAATGCATGAATACTCCAGCCGGCCGTCGCTGATCCCCAGGGCGATTCCAGTCAAGCGCCCGCGAGTGATTGTACCCGTGCTACGCAGAGGGAAGTCTGGGATCCCCATGAAACTAATGGCACGTTCCACAGCTGCGACAAAAAACGCCACAAAGTTAAAACGTGAGTTCCAGAGGATGTGGCCATTCGGCCCAACAAGCCAATGCTGGTGTTCGTGCTACGCCAGAGCCTCGCCCTAACTTGCCCCTACCCAGCCTGGTCTTAAAGAAACCACCTCAACCACTCCACATGCCAGACAGTGACACATTTCTCATCGAGAAGGGGGAGTGAAGAGGGGAATGAGGTGAAAGTGAGGGAATGATGAGGGGCAACCCAACAATCTTGTAGCTGCCGAGAAATACTAAGCGGAGAGCACGAGGTGAGCTGGAGCTTGTTAGAGGCAAAAAGGACAATATATGCTTAAGAGATGCTAGGATGCTTTGAGTTCTTTAGCTCAGTTGGCTGGAAGGCTGGTTTGTGATTCAGAATGACACCAATAGCATGAGTTCAATTCCTGTAATGGCTGAGGTTAACATGAAATGTCCTTCTCTTGATGTCTCTCCTCCCCTGTGGTATAGTAACCTTCAGGTTAAACTACCACCAGTTGTCTCTCTCTCTCTCTCTCTTCTCTGATAGAACAACAGCCCTATGGCGACTTTCCCTTCCCTAGTGAAAGGTAAAGGTATCGCTGACAAACTGTTGACCGAAATGAGGCTGGTAGAGGCAATGGATGGGGTGCTAATGAATAAGAAGAAAGGCCGACCAACATTTCAGGTTGCTAAAGGAAATGGAAGTAGAGATGGTGGAAGGCTTTGCTATTATCTTCCAATCGTCTTTAAATGTGCCAGAGATTTACACAGTGGCACATGTGACAACCATATTCAAGGAAGAGTACAACGATACTTCTCGTCAGTAAAACTGGCCATATTTTCCTGTTCACTTTTGGTTGTGTAGTTATAGGCAGTTTGGCTGAACATCAACAATTATCCACTCACGTGATGAAGGGTCAATTCTCTTTTCTTATTGGCTTGGGAGGTGAGAGAGCAAGGATCCTGTCAAACCTGTATCCACCTGAAGAGCCTTGAAGTAGGATGAGGAGATCCTTCTGAGATATATCTCACCATTCTCCATTTATGATGGGGGGGAGGTGGCTTGGAGTGGAATGGGGCCTGTGTGTACAGGCCAGGGAGAACATAAAGAGGAAGTTACGGGAGTTAGGGTGAGGTATTTAGTGAAGCCCAGTCAAAAAAATGTCTCTAAAATTGCTGGAGGAGAAACAATTGTGTCATAGTATCATCCAGTACAGAATAGGCCCTTCGGCCCATCAAATCTGTGCCACCAAAAATATACGACCTAAACTAGTCCCACTTTCCCACACTAGGCCCATAGCCTTGAATGTTATGACACTTCAAGTGCTCATCCAAGTAATTTTTAAAGATTGTGAGGCTTCCTGCCTCAACCAGCCTCCCAGCAGCGTATTCCCGATCCCTACTACCCTATCGGTGAAAACATTTTCCCCAAATCCTCTCTAAACCTCCTGCCTTTCACTTCCTAGTTCCAATTTACATTCTGCTGGGGGGCAAAGAGATATCTTTTCAACTGTAGTTCCAGTGAAACTTTTAAGAACACCATCAGAAACACGAATTCTTCTGCTGGGAGCTTAAAGTGTCCTTTTGGTCAATGTCTACACAGGAATTCTGGCTCACCTCTGTCCCTCTTTGTCTTTACAGTCAAATCCAACGAGCTCCAGCGAATTAAACTAGAACTCACCCAGATTAAATCTAACATCGACTCGCTGCTGGGAAGGCTGGAGGAGATTGCAAGGGAGAAAGTGGGTCACACAGGTGGGTAGAGCAGATACAGAAACAACAACCAGAAATTCCAGGAGACTCTCAGCGCAATTCTGAAGACAAATCAGACCGGGCCCAAAACATTAACTCAGTTTCACTCTCCATGGATGCTGCCAGACCTGCTGATTTTCTCCAGCATTGTCCATGTTTGTTTCAGATCTCCAGCATCCACAGTTCAGTGTATTATTTTAGAGCAAATGCAGTTCTAACCCAGAGTCTATGAGCTTCCACCTCATAACCTGGCAATGAACCCAGGCCAGGACTGATGGGGATAGTGACTGATGGTGTAAGAAACAGGGCTTTCCTTTAAGGCTATTTGGGACAACCACAATTCATCACCCACCCCTGGGTATAACCTGCTGTCTAATTTCAAGACAATATGGATGGGCTAGGGTTTTGCATTGTCAGACAAAGGACATTCACGTCACTCGCTCTTTAACCAGCTCCACAAAGTTGGACTATGTCTGATAATCCCCCTATTCATCTTAAAAACTGAAAGACCCACTGAGCACATTACACCCATGTCTGAAGATTAAGTTTATGATTTTTAACGAAGAATTGTGAAGGTGGTTTCAGTGATGGCTGCCAAAGGCAACAAGAAATCTCTTTGAAAAGCAAATAAAAACTGCCTCTCTTCTCGATCCTGTTCTCTTTATAGCTGTCTGTTCGATGTAACACTATCCAGTGTTCTGTGATACTCCCAGTTGTTTAGAATGATTGCCAAACGGAGATGAGAGGCCCCCATATCATTTTATGTTGTGCTGTTACTCATTAATGTTGCTCTGTCACTGAGGTCTCCTGATACAGTGAGCAGAACTGGAAATTCCCAGTTCAGGCTCTGGTGTAAGATCTTGCTGGTGATGAAGGCGAAGTCCAAGTTGCAGATTAATGAGCTGTTTATCAGCCTGGGAACCTTTACAACACATCCCCACTATTCCCCAAAATGGGTCAGGTGGGGGGACGTGTGTGGGAAGAGAGGTAAAATAAACTGAAACTTCTTTCCCCGAGCTATCGCTTTGTTGTAAACAATCTTCAGTAAAGCAGCAAATCTAGACTCTCTCAGAACTATAAGGAAAAGCGAGCATTTTAACAGGTTATGTGTTTCAATCTTAAACAACTGTAGGCTGAACGTTGCTCCCACTCAGTCAGTTTCATTCCCTGTGTCTGCTTATAATGTGGTTCCTGGAATTTCTCTTTCTCAAATACTATTAACATCTTTAAATGGGCTCTTTGAAAAGTCTATTTAAACTAGTTCGGGCTTTCTACACTTCTGGGTTTTGTTGGAGACAATCTGATGTTGTGGAGATAGCAGGAACTGCAGATGCTGGAGAATCTGAGATAACAAGGT